TCATAATAATTATTATATTCCCGTAAAGCCTCGACATTCATTTTACGAAGCTGGCATTAGGCAGATCGATCTAGGGCCTGATACTCAGCTCCTGATAGGTCTTCCTACCTGATAGGTAGTTCTCCTAGAAACGGCACATGTCGTGATGAGGTTTCTGTCTCTGGAGCCCTAACCACCGGTAATTTGAGCCATGCCCTCACTACTGGTCGCTCCTACTTTTATATTTATCAATATTTTTTTTAAAGTATTTATTGAAAATATAATTTTAGAGATTTTTAAATAAATTATTTATTATACAAATATTTATACAAGTATTTTAAGCACCCATAGTATTTCAATAAAAAATACACAGATTTTTAGATAACAACCATATCTACTAATTAAAATGAGACATAAACTTTATATTATTTTATAATAACTATCGTGAGACATGCTGAATCAACTGAAATTTAAAATTACGAGTAACTCACGCGACTGCGCACGCTACTCAAGAGTCCCCCTGTAACTCGAAACTAGTAGAGCATTTCCCAGTTTATTTACGTAAGTAACACGCGATTTTTAGTCTCCTCCTAATTTTTGTTAAATATTCTTTTCATAAAACTTCAGTGACAGTAACTTAATATCGGTAACTTGTCGACGGGATCAGTATCCGAGCCACCCTACTTGGAGGGCGACCCCTGAATCACTTTATTGACTGTAAAAAAGATTGGGTCAAGGTCAAAGGGCTCGATTACGTTAATCTATTTAAAAATAATGGATACAATTACCGAATGACTGATTAGATTTTAATAATTTTGGAGGGAATGATCTTTGTGGTTTTGTCTTTGCAACTGTAGTTATAACACTGGTTCTGGATGTATTCTCGAGTTGAACAAAATTTATGAAAATCACCCTTAAGGCTTTAACTGTTAATAAAAAACTGTAGAAGGCAAATCCTCCGCTTATGTCAGTCACCGGCGACCCATTTAATGTGTTAAAAATTACTCATTGTAACTAAGATTCATAATGATAAAATATTAATTCTTGTTTTTATTCTACACTAAGCAGAACTACAGCATTTCAATCATTCATTATAGAAATATTAATTGTATACTTACATGCTGTCAATTAAGTGTAAGTCCTACGCGACATGGATAAACCCATAAACCCATTGAAGAGAGAGACAGAGAGAGTGAGAGAGAGTTGAGACTAGGCGCAATTCTTGAATTCAATAACTAAGATTTTTAAAATTCAGAAACTCAGAGCACATTTTCATTTCAAAAATACCTAAAAGTATTAGCCATTTACCACAACATTTTCATTAATACTAACTGTTTAAATATAAAATAATTATTTTATAAGCTGCGTTTAAAAAGTTCGTCTTCAACCCTATCTTTTTGAAATCGCTTAATCGATAATTAATGTACTAAAACCTTCTCCTAGGTGTAACAAACACTTTTTTAAAAACCGCATCATAATCGGTTGAGACAATCGCACAAACATACTATTTTCTTTATTTTTGAAGTCGGTTAAAAAATAGCAAATATTAATAGGATAACTTATACCAAATATTATCCACCATCCGCTCAGCATCGCTTTATCTGCCCCAGCACAGTTTGTGTAGTAGTTTTCGCTCGGCGGAGCGCGAAATTATCGATTGTTGTAATTAATTGCAAACATCCAACCGATGAAATTAAATATCAATTTATAGAATGAACGTGCCAATTTAGAATATACTGATAATACAGTTTGTGTGATGTTTTTAATGAATTTGTCGTTGTTGTGGATGTCGAGATTAAGTATTTGCTTGTGTAAACATTTAGTGGAATTTCATATAATATTAACACGCTAAACGCCATGGGGGTCACCGGCGTTAGCGGAGGATTTACCTTCAACAGTTTTTTATTGGCAGTCAAAGTCTTAATTTCGTATCTCTCAATGATGTCAACACATCAATAAGGTAGTAAGGTAAACATATCAATCCTTTTGATCAAAGTTACTTACAATAATCATAAATTACAATTCCTTAGCTACTCAAGATAAAATATCTCAACTTGACTACGCTCTACGAATTATCGTAGCTCGTAGCAGAGACGTAGCACGTTCGTAGCACTACAATTCTAGTTTTTCTTCTACACTTTAATTACTATGCTTTCTATATTTACTCTGACAAAATTTACTTTTTGTTATACCAAATGGTTTTTCCCAACTTTTAGGAATGTTTTAAACAATTCTCATTTCGTAGTCCTAGATAAGTATATCTCTCTACTTCGCCATTTAAAACGTGACCTCATTGTAGAGCCCACTTTATACATATAATTTTAAATAATTAATGTTCTGAAACATCGTCAGTAGGGTGTCCACGTTGATATTCATCATGGAAATTGCAGTACTAATCCTCATTAATTACTTGGCAATTTTAAATCTCATTATAGTCGTTCAAATCGGTCTGGCATCGATTTTTCGTTGTGTGTCGAAGCCGTGGATTGCATATATTATCGTCAATGCTCAGGTGACAATCATTTCATTGTGGAATTAGTGTGGCTTTTGAATCGGTAAAACCATTAATACTCTTTTGTTGGTCGTTTGCCTAATCTCTGATTTATTTATCAATTTCATTTTGTTTGTATGCTATGTGAAAATATGGTCGATGCTGTTAGGATTGGTATATGTACCTAAGTATGAAACTAAATTGGATCGCTTCGTTGTGTACGATTTCAACAATGAAAACTTTTTTTTGTATAAAGTTTGACGGAAAAGTCTTGGCTGCCTCATTGGCCGACTGATCGCAAGTGTGACTGCCGGACACGAGGTCTCGGGTTCGATTCCTGGGTCAAGCAAAGTATTACTGGGTTTTTTTAAAAAAAAACCTCATTCGTAGCACAGAGTCTGGAAATGTGCCCGGTATATGGCAATACGTTCACCCCTTATTACATGAGACTCATAACATAAATGATGAAAACTGGGTGATACATTGTACAGTGGCATTAAATGCCGTAATGTGTACCACTGCCTACCCTCGAGGATAAAAAGCGGGATGTTATGTATGTTTGACGGGAAAACTTTAAGAGTTCGCTCTTATATGATTTTGATCGGCCTGTTGTGCCGATAGACCAAGTTGAAGTTTGTACATCTGTATCTAAATGGTATTCGCTATTTCATATCAAAATGTTTTACCAAAACAAAACTAAACACAAACAAAGTTATCCTGAAAACCACAGAAACATGGCCGTCGTACTGTGGGCGTACGTACGTCTGTCCATCGTATCGCATTGGCGCAAATTAATGAGGGTGCGATATTTATTTCAGAGTTTCGTTTGCAGTTGCCAAAATATCAGTTCACCTATATGACAGGTGATGCCTACATATGCAGTCATATGTAGACATTTGTAGTCATATACAGTCATTTGTAGACATACATATGTAGATATATAAACAGCTACAGTAATGAGCTTATTAAAGTTGATAGCATGGACGACGGCGGCCGATATTTGTGAATTTGTTATTACTGCGAAGGTTGGTTTGACTGATTTTGAAGTTTCGATATTAATTTTGATTAGCTCGTGTTTGGGACGTAGTTTAGTAATTTTATAGGGTTAGCACGGACAAAATTTGTTCGGCAAAGATATTGGTGGTACAAGAATGTTGAAATAGGTACAACTCGTCGAGTACCGGTTTTATAGACACAATTAAAGAACAATAGGTCGCGGTCACCGGTGACCGCTTGGTGTTTGACAGATTAATACATGTTTTTATTACTAGTTTTTTATAGGGTTGATAAAACATTAAAAAGAAACATATTAATGGATTTGTAGATTTTATTTATTGTAAAATGAATTCTGCTACTTGTAGTCAACAGAAGTAATAATAACGGAAAGCTGAAACGACAAATGAATTGCTATGCAAAGTTAAACCACATTGTTACAGTACATTCAATATTTTAGTATTGCACAAATTGTTAAAAATATAAACATGTAATATTAAAACAGAAAACTTCGACAGTTAATTAATTTAGTTACAATTAACGAATAAAACAAACACGTGAACATAACTGTTGAAAACATTAAATTTTAAATTGGAAACATGTCTCTAAACAGCCAAATCGTCGTACATAATCGTCACATTAATTCTGAAATACAACTATACAAAAAATGCAAACTATACAATAATTTTAATAACAAAACTAAAGGAAAAACTGATCTAAGTTATCTACAAATTGGACAGAGTTCACATACTCAACAGATAGTTACTTAGAACTAAGTATACATCTACTCAACTTGATAATTGCACATCTATTGCACTTTACAAGATGCATTTACAACAAATTAGTATTCACAGTTCGTATTTACAAGTTTGCCATTAAAAGACAAAGTTAAATCTTTTTTACATCTTGCCTCTGTCTAAATGTTGGACGGCCAACAACCAATGCCATATTGGCCAGCGCATGACTCTAATCGTATACGGTAAGTTGGTTAAAGTTGGAGCAAAGTCATGAACTACATTTGTAGGTGTTGGCTAGCCAATATTTGAACCAATAATTGGTGTATGTATCAAAACTAGTGAGATGAAACTAAATGTATGATATATTCTCTATCACCGACACTTACAACAACATTGTAACCAAACATTTCCTTGCTTAAAATCCAGACTACGACCAAAATGTTCTAAAATGTTAATTTTATTTTTTTAATCAACAGAATCGTATAAATTTAGGACGGGAGCGAACTTTGGAACTAGGTTACATACAAATTTCAACTAATCCAATCACCTGTATCTCGTATTTTACAAATTAATTTAGGTCAAAACGCAATCGAGAATCTATTTCGTTGCCTCCTCTCTGTTTCGATCTATAACAATTCTCATCTAGAATCAAGACGTCGAAACAGTGTAAAACCACTTTTCGTCACATGAAAAATACAAAACGGACACACACTACTGGTTTACCCGAGGTATCGACACAGACGATATATCTACAAACACATATTGTTCGTATGGGTGCAATAAAAGGAACATCACTTTGTTTAGTAGGGTCGCCACACCGTGTTACTGTCTGGCTGCGGATTACCTCTTTGTCCGAGATTATTCACCCGTCCGTCCTCACCCCTAGCCGCCGCCGCCGCACAGGAGTTCCCTCCACCCAGGAGCAGGTCTTGTCCATGATTGCCGTGTTGTCTGTGATTGTTCGTGGTGGATGATATCTGGTCCATCATAGTTTGAAGCTCGTTATGGTGATTTTGCGTCGAGTGTATCGAGTTGGAGTGCAACGGGTGGAAGTTGTGCGTCTGGTTGGCGGCGGTATACAACTGGCTGTACAATAAGCTGGCTGGGAGGACGGGGTATAACGAGTTGTTACAGTTGCTGCCGCCATACGAAGTGTTCTGTGATCCCATTAACGAGGGGAAGTTTGAGCTGTTTGTGTGATTGTGGCCGATGTTTGTCGATGTGTTTGAAGTGAGTAAATCGTCCTGTACGGGTGACTCGGGCTGTGAACTGTTGTCGCTAAGTGACCGAGGGCCCGTCGAGAGACTGTAGTCGGTGTTGTTGTTGTAGCGAGGTAGGAGGCTGCCGTGGTGTGACGGGGAGGAGCCGACGAGGCCCGATAGTTGCTGGTCTAGGTCGACGCCTGTCGTGTCTGGTAGAACTGTATGGACAAAACATCGGTAATTAAAATTTAACAAAAATAGAACATCAGTACTAATACAAAATGACGACAATTGAGAAACTTCCAATAACAAATACTGAACAAAAAGTTGGTCCGCGGCTAATTTTGTAACTCATTTTTATAATGCCACGAAACAATACCCCAACCATAAATGGCTGTTTACATTTTTGTGGAAGTCTAAATATAGGTAATTGTTGTTATTATACGACACAGAATTTTAGTATGGTTTTAATATGGCTATATTTTTCGTTGATCGGGCACGCATCGACAATAAATTCATCGGCCGGATCGGACGTGTGCGAGCCGCTGTAAATTATAATGAGAGCCGGTTAATGTCCGACTAGCTGGCCTTAGAGTATTTAATCGAGAGTACATCATATTGGATCTACGTCGGCCTTAACTGTAATTTTATATTTTACAATATAGTACAATTACTGTAATATGATACACTGACTTTCCACGAAGAGTAAATAGTTTATTTCTCGGAGTAGAATAGACGGATGGACGGAACAGTAATAACGTAATAAATACATATAGGTTCTTGTCTTACAATTTCTTAAACTTCGCTTGGAATTTAAAAGTACGGATCGGATACGGAGCAACATAAAGTAATTTCTATAATAAAAGATTTAATATTATGATCGTAATTAAAAGTTCAGTAGGCACATTATCACTGATAAGTATCACGTATGCACCATCTGTTCTCATAATCTATGGCTTATCCGCTGAACGTATTATTTAAAGGACGACATGAGTTGTAAAAGTATTGGTATGTTTAATTTTACTGCTCTGAATATTGATTACTGAATGTAAGAGGTATTTATAAACCTTGTTGTGTTTTGTAGTAGGAATAATTTATCGGTGGACTAATAGTTTCTCATTTGTATTGATTTTGAGAAAGAACAATTTATTTACTAACATTGATTTATCAATCGGGAACTTCACTGTGAAAGACTTCAGCAATCTAAGTAATGTTTGAAGAGGCTCTATGAATATTTCCAAAATTATTGAACAAACAATTAAAGAGACAATTTGTGTTGAAATACATGAATTTGAATGTTTGCGAATTTTACATGTTATAAGACGGATGGTTGGTAAAACTACCAATAATCGATACTCAACCAATAACCGATAGGAATAAACATTCCTATTACTTAAAGACTGATATTTTCATCATACCTGTATTATTAGCAGTAAAATCTTGCGTAGGCGTCTGATCAGGAACAGTACCAGCGAAGCCCAGCGCTGGGGGGTTGAACTGTGATGCTGCTGGCGCTGCACAGGACGGGAGGTACGCTGGGTATGCGCCTGCACCGCCGTATCCCCAGTGCGAGTTACTCGAACTTAGACCGAATTGACTCATATCTGTGGGAGAAAGTAGTATAAATGTATAATTATAAATGTTTGTGTTATCGGCGTATGAAGTGATCTTGATTAAGTTCAGTTGCATTAAAAGACGGTTTTGTATGTAACACGTCAATAAGTACGTTGTTCTATCTACGTATATGTAGAAGCAAAACTACTAAAGATGATTACCTACTCATAATATTCATAATTATTTAAAGGCTATAACGCCTGTCCTCGAAAGAAAATAAAAGAACATGGGAAATATCTCCGCTGAAGACTATGTCGCCATATTGCCATAAAATGCATGCAATACAACAAAACAATAGCCACTGAAGCAGGCACTTGTGTGTTACAACTTATCAATTCAAACACGAATGTTTGCAGAGAAAAGCGCGCGCGGTCACTTATAAAGATGTCCGGCCCGGTCCGGCAGCCGTAGCTACACTTTATTTTTTCCCGGTATCAGTGGCTTTTATTTTTCGGTATCACGGTTCCGTTTTTGGCCGGCGATCGGCGGACTCGGTTTTTATACGGTACGCGTTCCCGCCGTCGATTTGCGAATGCCTTTTTTTCCGTTTTGAGCCGCATGAGTTGTTTTGGGGTAGCCGTGGATTTTAGCGGGCTCGAGCACGCTTGTTCGATTGCGTCCGCAGTCAGCTTCCAGTCCGATTCTCTTTTTGGCGTCGGCTGATTGAATCCGCGCTTTAGTGAACGTAGTTTAGCGTATCGCTTGGTTTGGCGACTCATTCACTTTTGAGCCTCGCGCTGCCTAGGTTTGTGCTATCATTCCGATTTAGATTCCTGGTTTGGTTTCGATTTATTTTGTTTGCGTCGTGTTTTTGATTTTTGGCGGCTCTTATTCGGCGGTTAGTAATTAATTGTCAGTGTTTCTGTTTAGTTAAGTTTTTCACTTAACTTATTATTTCGCATCAGAAGCCAATTACCAATTATACGAACTTTTAATGTCAAACAAAATAAGAGCTCCCTATAATTTTTGAAAATGACCCATTTACATACTATAACACAGAAACACGGAAATGTAATTAAAAATAAGTACTCTTTCAATACTCACTCTGGCATGTAGTGATGGGTGGCATTCGGAACCCTCCCAGAGGGTCGGGGGGAAACGGGAACGGCCTCTGTCCGAATGCGAAGTGGAACTGCTGCTGCTGTCCTAGGAGTGAGAGCACTACATCAGTACGATACAGGCTGCCCTTTGGTATTCACTATTAGAATACTAGTACTAGGCTTAATGAGATAACTATAACGAATATATTTGTGGGTAATATTAACAGCGTATTGTAATGGTCAGTGGTCAACTAACAATTAATATGAATTTCAAACGTGAATGTCTCTGGTTCGAACCTCAATTATATCGCATAGTCCAAGAAGGACTTTGAAAAAAAGGTGCACATAATGTTACGTTTTTTTCTTCTTTGGCAACTGAGTCTCCAATAGGATGTTGTCGACTATACTGCCAGTGTCGGGTGGTATAATAATGTCACTTAGAAATTATTGAAGCATCAAAATGTCAGTGGATTATTTATGTGTGCGTGTGTAATGAGTTATCGCGTTACCACACTTACGAAAATGACAGATGTCCTTCGTGTCAATGTGTGTATGTTCTGCGTGTAAGTCTATAGTAACCAGGCGCCACAGTCGTTGTTGCAAGAGACTGTGTCTGCCTTTTTTTTACGTTCTTGGCATAGTCATTATATTTTTTTTTTATTGTCAGAAAATAATTGAAATCCCGAGTTTGACAACAAAACTACAATACCTAGATAATAACGCCAACGTCATTTACATAGGAATCATACACTTTGAGCATTCATTTCATCGCGCTTAAAAAACACGTTATTAAAGTGTAAAGACTTTATGAAAAGGTACTACATTAACAAATCTATATTCATTTTATTAGTTATATACGTTATTAGTTTATTCGTACACCAAAATTAAACATTTCACACTCACACATAAGCAGCAGCACATGTACAAGTATGGACCCAGTCTCACGTTCTGAAACACCCTTCGATTAGTCCCTAGACACTCGATAATTCATCGACACTCGTGTGACATGCCTGCCTACCCCCACGTGTACGAATTAGTTACAACTTGCCACCGTGAAATATCGAAGCCTTGTTGGAATTTCAATTTAGTTCTATTTATATAGATATGTGTTACTTTTTAAGCTGTTTTGAGTGTAATTAAAGAAACTAACGTATAAGATAGATAATTTTTCTATGACATCTTTGCTTCTTTTTTTAACCGACTTAAAAAAGGAGGTCGTCAGTTCTCATTTTATATAATCTATATTTGAAACATCTTCAATCCTTTCTTCTTTAAATCGGTTAGACTTAAAATGAAGAAGACTTTTTCTTTTTATCATTTATCTTTTGGTTTTGTTTCGGCGTCAGAGTAGCCAGTTTGATACCGAAGTCATTACCTTTACTATAAATCTATAAGAAATTAAGTGACATTTTGCAATTTTTTGACAACAATATTTTTGAATTTAAAATAACTTTAATTAGTTTATATAACTGAATTGGAATAATGAATGTTATTACTCTCACAGTAAACTGTAACATTTTTGTACGCATTTACTTCACTTTAACATAATGTCCTTTATATTAAACAACGATCATTTCCACCATTTTCCTATAAACTATTATATACTCATAAAAATGCATAGACACTAAATTACACTCCACATCGTAATATTAACAGTTTAACTAGAAATCACCACATTGGTAGTGCATTCAGATTCATGATTCAACACTTCCGTATAGTGCTGTAAGCCAATTGAGTCTGATGAAAGTTACTCAGTCTATGGTCGTTATAAACATATTGACTAGTCGTTCATAGACACACTAAAGTCATGTCTATGATATGATTGCGTTTGATTGTGGAGATCATGATGTTGTTTACTAGATTATTAATGTTTCCAGGTAGCTTTCATTTTACCATCTAATTCAAATGTAACTAAAACGTCATTCGCACATAATATATAGCTTAGTATAAAAATATAGGTTCGTGTTGCCGCCCCCCAATTGCAGTGCATTCTTAAACTTATTCACTAATGTTTTCCTATGTTAGTTTATTTTTAATCTGAACATTAAAGGTGATGGAAAACTATACTTCTTAATAAGGTATTGTACAAATATGCCTTGATTTACAAAATGAAGTACATTTACATTTACATAATAACTATGAATTATGAATTTACCAAAATGTTATCTTACTTGCAACTTTGCAAAATCTCCGATACTACTATCTAATCCTCTCAATATGCCACCTTAATTCGGATAATCTCAAAACGGGGTTCAGTATAGTACAGGGGGATATAGGGAATAATTCAAGCGACAAGGCAGCATTGTCTGCGGCACTCTTCATGGGCGACATGGCGACATAATTCAATCACGGGGAAAGCGGTGACATAGGAACATTGTATGACGCTACTGGTTGCTTAGTAATCAGAATCAGTAGGGAGTTCCATCAATTTGGTGTGAATTTGAAAGATGTGGAAACTCTTTGCTTAGAGACTCTATGCTTAATTTAGTGTTAATCGTGAAAAGGGGGATAATATTGCGCAGAAACTGTTAGGATTCTATACTTCTGTCTTTATGGTTACAAAAGATTATTTTAAAGATATTTTTTTTATGTTGGAACTTATTTTGATTATATCTCTGTGGCAAGGTCATTTTGTTAGTAATGTGATGTCCGCTCTGAATTTCTATTTGTTTAAGTTTATAATTTCATACCTTTGTGTGGATAATAATTTATTTATTTATCATTACAGGTTTTTAACCTAAGGCGATGCGATAATAATTTGTTTTGCATGAACTGTACACTTTTAATTTACTTATGATATTAAATCAATGTTAAAATCAACTAATACAATATAGGCAATATTAAGCTAGGTACTATACAAGATTGCACTCTCAGTATCAAAATGCAAAATATGTAAATGCACTTACACGGCCCGCGGCCATTACATTGACAAATGCACGCACACATAGCTAGGGCTGCTAAATTATTGGAATGCAGTGGCGTGCAGTCCATATAGGCAAATAGGCTTTGCTTGACATAAAATGTACTAACGCGTTTATTAAGATTCAATAATATAATAAAAGTTTGTAAAAAAACGGCTAACATAAATATACATTCACATTTACTATACACGGACCGCACGCCTTTGTAAAGCAATGAATGCGCGCCGCACGCACCACGCATGCGCTGCTATTCCTTAAATCTTGGTTGTTGGTTGTGACGTCACAAAAAGTATGCAACGCGCATGCGTGAAGGTCACGTGACTATGGTCACAGCACAGAATAACCATTCATAAACGCAAAAAATTATTACACAATTCAATCTAGCCGGACTTTTTGAAATTTGTGAATCTGCGCCATCTATTGAATTTTTTGTTAAAACTTCTGAACGCGTTTGATATAATGCGAATGTCTTTTTATAATTATGCATACTAAAAAAATATGTTTCAGGAGTTTTAATTAAATCTTAACATTTTTACGCGTTGTCGCTTTATAGAAACTTTAAACGAAGAGTTGACTTTATTATTTTAAAAGTTAAAAGGAAGTTATCGAAACGTCAAGTTGCCGCTACTCAAAGTTTCAAATTATTATCAACGAATGTTTCTTATTGGAAAATAATAATAAGACAATGATGCAATTCCATTTGACTTATGTAAATTAACGTTTTGTTTTTTTATAATTAAACACTGGGTTGCCTTAATGTTTTAGCTATAATTTTTTTATAATAAACACTCAATTGACTACGATGGGTAATGACTTTCCAATGTTTTCGGCCATATTGTTTTCATGTGATGTGCGATCGCTTTGTTTATGTTTTCGTTTAAATTATAAGGAATTAGTTTTAAACATAAAGTTGCATAAATATGTGTAGAAGTAGTAAAATATATGTGTCGGTTTTTCAAATAGGTAGTGTATTTGTTTATCAGTGTCTAGTATATTATTCGATTGTGAAGTTTGTGTTGATAATAGGTATTTTTTTGTGTTTGTTTAAAGTTAAAAACAGTAAGTTTTCGCAAAAATGTGTCCTATAACGACTAGATTCAGGTAATGACCATAGGCAGAACTCAAGTTACGAGAATTGACCCAAGTCAAAGGTACGTAATGTAAATATGTAGGTACTATAATGGATCTTTTATATGATGTTCTTGTTTATTGATTGATAATTCTTAAAAATATCAACTTATACCTCGGGTTGTTTTGATTTACATATTAATTTATTATTAATAATTATGTAATGTAATAACAAATGTACCGCTTATACTCGGCTCGGCCACAGCCGGCCGCGCTTGTTGTTGTTTTGTTTGTTGGTAGGTACCTACGTTCTTAAATTCGTAATTATGATTTTGAATAGATTATTTAGCAATTTGATCATTGAATTTGGTTCATCAAATTTATGATTCATTATTAGTATAATAAATAGATGCTTCATTATTTGTAAGTTTTGTTGGCTTATTCGATAGCTGATGAAGTACTTTACAAAAAATACGCGAGATGTCGGTGTATGTAATTTGGCGAAAGAATAAACCACAATATTCTTGAACGCACTTTCAAAATGTATTCTGTACATGTACCTGTCTTGTGGGAGTATGATTGTATGACCGGGGGGGAGGGCTTTAATCATACGATATTTAGTTGCCTACCCTGTCTCGAAAATCTGTGCACGCCACTGTTGGAATGTATATTAATTATATTGACTTTTAAGGAAATAATGTCATTATTAAAATGTTTTTACTGAAAGTACTTAAATAAATTTTAGTTTAATATTGTATTATTTAACGCGATACGTGACAAGTGATAATATTAAATATGCAAGATCAACTATTATTTTCAACGGGTATTGCAAATATCTTAATTGAATATTTCATTAGATTTAGGCAAATTTACTTTAATCGAATAAAAAATCTTACAGAAACCCCCAAATATCTAACATATTAATCTAAATAAAAAGTCATAATTAAAAGAATTTAAATCATCACTCACGACGTAATACAAAACCATTCAACAAAACACGTACCAAAATAATTTTCAATTTCCAAAACACCCAACTGGAAACCATTCGGTACCAAAACAAAAGATCAGGACAGCCCTATTAAGCACACACATGGCTCTCTATTCCCGTGCAAAAGGCTCGAGTGTATAAATCAGCGACGCAACAATTACACACTTTCATGGCAAGTTGGAATTAGAAACTGTCATTTGCACCGTTCGAGGCCCACCCCGTGGGGGGAGGAGGGGGTGTATTACAAATGGGAGGGAAAAATAGGGTGCGGGCAAGGGCTACTACGGACCTGATTAAAGGATTACACCCTGTGCCGTCCGGTCTAGTTAAATTTATTATGCCAAGTATTTCTACTAGTTAGTCTTTGCGAACCGTCGCGTCTGCTTGATGGTAGTTCGTTTAAAGATTTAAATTGGACCGGATTTTAAATTGATGTGTTCGGATTTTGTATTGGATTAGATGAAGCTATGTAGATAGTTTTACCTATGAGTATGGTGTAAAGACTATAAATTCGAAGTTCATCACCCTCCTAGATAGACAATGCACAAAAGTTATGAACTTAGTCGCCGTGTGAAGTAAACAACGGAGTTTATTGTCGTAAACATTGAGATCGGCGCAGGCGACGGTAGCGCCACGCATGGGTGGTCCGAGCGCTGTTCCCGAAATAACCCGAAACCAGCCGAACAGAACACGAAGAAAAACATCGTTAGACGGGCGGATTATTAAATTGTAGTCGGCTTCTGTTGGCTACTGAGCGCGATAAAACGCGCCACCCACCCAGCGGACAAAAATAGTGGGTAAGGGTAGGACACAATGTGCCCGTAATATCCGCATGGTGTGTGTACATCTTTACCGGTTGTTCTCAGATGACTGTTCAAATATCGAGAGGAATTCTAAACGAGTTTGTTTGAAGTCTCCTCATTAAATCTCTTTAAGATGGTTAATTGAATACGGAAAAAACAAGAAATCTATATTTCTCCATAATGTCTATCGAAATTGTGCTATTTCTAACTCACATCACTGATTAAAAATTCTCTCAACTGGAAACAATGAACAAAACACCTCGAAAATAGCAGATATAATTTAAAATTAACCACAACCCCTTACTTGTCAATCGTACATTCACTATCACGAGACAAGAAAACAAAATCCGTGATCGTATTGATGAGAACACGTATAGATACAACGCTACATGTGTCGGAACTTACTAGAATTAAATAATTTATCGTTGCGAGTAGAGGCTGGAGGCATAATAAATCAATATGCAGGGCACATGCATACGCGGTGAGGGGGTTAACTCCCCCGGCCCTTTCTTGACTAATTAATTAAACAACCGATTCATTACAGCAGCCTCTTTGTACCCTCACATTCGTCTCGTCGGTACCGATAGCATTGAGGAGGTTTCACAAGAATATGTGGAAAGGATCAGTACAAGTATTTCTTTAATCGTTTAAAAAGTTCGAGGACTGTTTTATATTTTGTTTTTTAAATATTTTAATTTTTTTTTTGAATCATTTGATCTTGGAACTTTGAAATTAAAGAAAGATTACATGTACATACGATAAAATTGAATAATCTAGAAAATATTACCAAATCATGAACCAAAAATAAAGAAATGTTGCATTGATTCCATTAATACACAGTTAAAGCATACTTTGTACAAAATCAAATAAAGTTAGCAGTAAAATTTCCCTCTAATCTGGTAGTCCGACGGTACTTAACCCTTCGCCGGGCGCGGGGGGTCTGTGAGACCGACGGGTCGCCGGGTCGGCACTATCCCGCGGTGCTCGCAATTATTTTAATTTCTTCACGTGATGAGGATTGATCGAGCGTTAGGTGCGATTCGGCGACCGTCGGCACCCGTCATTTGTTACTCTCACCCAAACTTTTAACTATTTAAATTGCTTTCTTGATGTATAGTTGGGGTTAAGTGCTATTAGAATAGTTTTTGTCGTAAGTGATATGTTGTTAGTTTAGACTTTATAGTGAAGGACTTATGAGTACCTAAATAAACCTTTGTCAAGTTAAGATTTGTTTAATGATGATATTCATTAATACTATGATATACTATAGATGATATTATGATATCACTCATGTTGTACGACAACGACATGACCCGAATATTAAACTAACTATCAAAGAAGCTTGTTTGAATGAAAGTCCAACCTAATAGGGTAGATGCCTAATTTTTATTTTAATGTCCGTCTGATAGATTGTTTTAAATCATTAGACATTTTTTATTTTCTTACAGAAACTAATACTTTCGACGATATATTGATTTCAAATGTCGCGTGACGTCACTTCTATGTACATTTTATACGTAGAAATGACGTTTTAGCCCCCAACTTTGTTTCGTTTTATCTAAGTATTGTTTTATTGTACCACAAAATAAAAAAAAATACGTGTCTAATATTTTTTCATTACCTAACTTACGGACTAATTAGATTTTTAATTTTCATACCCTATCATCATCCCAATTATTATATTAATATTTTTATTTATGTTACTTTTCAACTACATTTAATTTTATACAAAGACTTCAAGAATCCAAAATATCAAAGCTAAGCAAATCAAAAAGCGTCATTAAATACGTCATAATATTTTGTACCTCCAAAGAATCCCCTTGGTTCACGGTATCTGCACTCGAAAAGGTACGTTTTGGCAAATTATTAATAAATTACCTTCATTAAGTGTGTTTTACAATGTTTTGCGGTTTTGCTCGTTTGTTGCCGAGTGTTCAGACGTTTGCACGCTTTGATGTTTGGAGCACGAATGAAATAGTAGGAGGAATTAATTGGTATTGTAGACAGGTATGGTAGCTGCCTACCCGCGTATTGTTACTGTTCATAGAAAGGTATTTATTGTTTCTGCGTTTGTTTTTGATTTTTATAAATGATTGTTTTGGAGTTTTATGTTAAACTAACTTCTGCCCACGACTTCGTACGCGTAATCCCATTTTTCCCGTCCCCGTTCGTGATTTTCGGTACAAAGTAAAAAAAAACATTGGTTAAAAAGTATCCTATGTCGGTCTCCTGGCTCTAAGCTACCTCCCTTCCAATTTTCAGCCTAATCTATTCGATCGTTCTTGAGTTATAAGTGGTGTAACTAACCTGACTTTCTTTTATATATATAGATGTGTTTTTAAATTAGGCACGTACATAGACTTATCACTAGATAATATGGAATTAGATTAACTCGTCGAGTACCGGTTTTATAGACACAATTAAAGAACAATAGGTCGCGGTCACCGGTGACCGCTTGGTGTTTGACAGTTTAATTGAGATGAAAGCTAATGTATTCCTAAAATCGAATTTCAGCTTTGCTTTATTGAGGATCGAACAGAACAGACCTCGAGACCAACTTACACTATTATTTTAATTTAATTGTTTTGTGTCTTAATGTTCCTAAGAATACCCATTCAAATATAAATAATTTCCACTACGCAATCAAAAAGAAACTCTAATACTAACTGGTTTTAGATCGAGGTTCCCTTGGACCGTCCACCGTCACTTTGATCGCTTTGTTGTAAGTCGTCACTTGAGGCGGCGTCGTCGATACAGTTATCGTAAGTGTGAACGATTTACCTGCAACAAAATGTCATATTAGTATTGTGGTAATTATATAAAACTATGATCTAATCCTGAGAGTATAAGGTCTTAAATCAAATAATTGAGTAATAAAGATGTACATATGTCTGAATAACCATTATTCAATTATACATATGGGAAAGATATTTATATTACTCATATAACTTATTTTCTACGTAGTTCTATAAACAGTCAGTAAAATAAAATTCATACATTTTCGCTGGTAAAACTTTAACCAACATTCCCTTAATACAGCGACACATTTTATTAAATCGCGCCGTAGCGAAAAAGTAATTATAACAAACTGAAAATATTATTTGCGCAAACTTTTCACTCAAAGTGAGCGCACGCCATAAATTCAATCTGTGGTCGCCACTCTTTTCGCTGGCCGCCCACTTTTTGTAGTTCGATTTTGATCACTTGTTCGAAAAGTTAAAAATTTATTGCCGCTTCGTTTTCAATTTCTACGAACCGAATGAATTCGTTTGTACCTATGTTATACACACTGCCTGCACGTGACAAATATTGTCAATCAAAAATACTCAGCCGACCCCACAGGGCGTATCAATATCATCGACCCTCCAATAAATTGGCTTATATCGGAATTATAACACGAGAGTTTCATATATGACCACTACAAAAAAGAACAAACGAAAACAAGCACTTGAATCGAAACAATCTCATTCAAACGTGGAGTGTGTAAAAGAGCAACTCATCCGCTCCACGTGAGCGCGTCACAAACAGCGGGCCGACCACTTCATCACAGCGTAACGCCGGCAATAAAAAAAACATTTCCATCTGCGGAAAAACCACAGTTAATATTAAATGACCGTCCGTCAAAGCTGTATTGTAGAGCGCTTTGGCGGCCGTTCGCTGCGGGATGCAGCCAATACCGATTTTGTGATTTTTCCAGTGCCCCCCTCGCGGCTGCCTCCCTGTGGGGCGCGGGAGAGTGACATGTAAGCTTTAATGGGCCCCGGAGCGGCTGGCCGCTGGCTACACGCGAAAAAACTGAAAAAAGCCTCATTCATACGTGATTTCATGTGTAGGCTACTTTCTGCGGGCCCGGCGGTGAGGCTCGTTAAAAATGGAGGCCGTACACGCAGCCAGCTTGTTGCGGCCTATCGGAGTTTATTAACGCGGCCGAGGAACGCTTGCACCGTTCACAAAACAAGTGTTTGTGATGCTTTACGCTTTCGGGAACATTTTATAACGTGCCACCCGTCTGTTCCTCGTGTTAGATACTTTGTTCAACATTACATTGTGCAACTTAACCGTTCAATTCATTATTAAATAGTTACGTTGGATTCAGTTTCATTTTTATTACTTTAAATTTTTTACGCTGAAATTTTTAATGCAAGTCGTGCCTTCAGTTTTTGCAAAGTTCAAAGAAAACCGAATTATTTATTCTGATAATACATAAATTTCTTAGGAAATGGTAAAACATATATGCTTCCATAGAAATCATTAGCCAACTAGACAGAATTAACTAAATAATCACACAACAACATTCATGGTGAATTTTCCGTCATGGCCAAAAAGCTATCAAAAAGGCAGGGTTGTAACAACGTGGCAAGACAAGGCAATGAGTGATGTGAAGTCGGAGTCGTACCGGTACCGTTACGTGCCGGTACCGTCTACGGCGCGCCTAAATAAATAACCCTACTTAATGTGGTGCCCACACGATACCTAGCACCGTTTTTACGATTTCACAATTTCCTCACTTGAGCCGCGACAACCTTCGATCCGTGGGGGAAGTTTTTTATCGTGTTATTGAATACATTTTTGGACGAAACGATTTATTATCTGTTTAGGGAGAAGATATATGGATAGGGATTTTCTGTTAAGTTGTTTATAGGTATGAACAAATAAACTATTTCATTTGGAGAGTATATTTAACATGTGATTGTTGAAATTTTTTTGATTGACATGTACCGTATAATATTAGAGAAAAATTATAGAAATTATTTAATTTTGTCTACGTGTTTGAAGACAATCGATTTGAAGTGAAGAAGTTCTTTATGGTAATTAGATGACCTACTTTACAAGGAATATATGCAGAGTGTTCATGAAACAAAATACATAAAATAAAAGAGAATATAGGCATTTCATTGTTTGGTAATTTACCAATGCAAATTAACAGTCAACCAGTCCAATGACTGGTTCTGAAAGCACTGTTTCGATTTCCCAAATAGAATGCACTTCTTCATTCAAAAAGGTTGTCTTGAAATTTAAAAAAATCCACGTGGCTTAAACCCGTAGGCGAAAATTAAAAGAAACTTGACGAAGAAATGTAAACTTCAACACCAATAACAAAAATAATGTTTAATACCAATTGATAGTAAGTTACAATACAATTAGCGATCGCGCTCGCCAGCAGCGTTTAGTCGCACGACAACGCGACAGTAACTGCGACACTTGCACCGTTTCAACTTCTGTCGCTTTCGACATCTCAATTTGAGTCGAGATACTGGGTAAACTTGTGGACATGACTTGCTCATAAAACTTTTCTATCTATTTTAAAATGTTTGAGAAATAAATAAACTGTTGAATAAGTAAATGTTTTCTTTCTTTGTAATGCATTCAGATTCGAAATGGTAAGTAAGTTGGTAACTGAGGAGCTCATGCGGTGAATACGCACGGTACGGTACGTTATCTATTTAAGACCTGTCATTTGGAACCATTTTCCTAAATGCGAGATTATGCTCTTTCGATGATTACTAGAGAATATCATTTTAGTCAACATTAAGTAAATCCTACCCGACAAGGCACATTACTAATTACTTTACAAGGCTTTCGACATTCAAGCAACGTGACGCATCCAGATTATTCTATCGTCGCCACCGACATTCCCTAATAGCTAGATGCAATCCAATTTGACAGCTGTCAAATACACTCGTCGCCTTGTCGCAGTCGCACGATTACTAAGCGTTGTCGTCGGCCGATAACGACCTGCTAATGCCCTCCTGTGCTAATTGAGTGAATTAATATTCCCGTGTAAGGTGATTCGATGTGTCGGCTTGACGCTGTTTCGGATGATTGAGCGATCTATTAGACTGAGTGTTTCAATTGGTTTGCGTTTGGTTGTTGACTGAAGACGAAGTTGCAAGATATCAGAGGCAATCTCAAATTTTATGATTGTTTAGTTTTTGCAGACCTGGCAGACGGTATTATAAGTTATTGATATTGTAAGAATGTTAAACTGATTTTATTACAAAAGTTAAATTGTCAACTAACACTTTGAGACGTTGGCAATACTTGTACTGCGGTCTGTTTCTCCGAAATGAAGTGAGCGAATTGGCATTCACCGACATCACAGGACCACAAACTACAATGTCAAGCAACCTCCGCCTCGCAGACTGGAGCAATATTTCAGCGCACATTTAACTCCAATACCTAAACTAATAACAAAATGACGGTTAATAGAGCGTGAGTGAGTCGGCGCCACAAAGCATAGTTACGTAACTTGCGGGTTCCGTTACCAACTACCCGAAACCAAGGACCGACCGTAAATGAAATGGTAGTTTTCCGTGGCTAACCGGCTAACCGGGTTGGTGTACCGGTCCGGCCGCCACCCGGTTAACCGGCTGCGGCCGCGTTATGGTTGACAAGGGCTGTTGTGGGTGACGGGACGTGCGTGCGCCGTCTGCACGATGTTTGCGTGTACTCTAACCTTTTTGCGTTTTGCTCAAGTTTTTCATTGGCGTTCGATGGGTGGAGTTTGATGGGACATGTGTTTTTGACGGTCGTTTAACAAAAGTTTTATTACTGACGCTTTTATCTGATTGCTGTCATAAAAGAATTGCAAGTGTTAAAATTTTGCATGTTTCATTTGAAATGTGCGAAAATAAACAAGAGAGATGATGTTAAGCGATCAAAAGACGTATCATAAAGCGTAACGCGATCGTCCCACGCGGCCACAATATATTCAAATAAAGAACTCTTCAAAGGAAAAATTTTATTCAAATGGCGAGGCGACCGCAGCCGTGCTCGCCCCGCCTCCACGGAAGAACTTGCTTTCCCGACCTTTTCCATTGGCTGGCGAGCGAGAAGGCGGGCCTTCTTGAAGTCTTCGCCGAGACTAACTTTTCATTTGCACAGCTCTGAAATATAGCTTGAGATTAAAGCGCAACGTGGAACTTCTCTGCGGTTTCTCTCGAGACGTACTTTTTTTTTGTTTGCAGCCGGCCTAAGTAATATGCAGTGGATCTTCAATTTCCATTAATAACTTGCGGTGGCTTTTCCTAAGGCGAAGTATATTAAAAGTTGGTTTTCGTAGTTATTTTCTTATTACGTAAGACGGCAAAAAGTGCCGCCTGGAGACTTTGAATGGAATTCATTTTGTACATGAGTTGTCTTAAGTGATTTTTCTTTGTGCAATACAGGTTGAGGTTAATTAGTAATATTAGATTTTTAATACTTCCTTATACTCAACTACACTGTATTAATACTCATTATCTTTATTACATTCTACATGTTTAGTTCTTGTAAATACAATTTTATGATTTGGTGTTTATATAGTAACAATCTAACATTTTAATCTTCATTCGAAATATTTCGCAATGACATTAGTGATGTTTAAGAAGTTACCGAACAATCAGTCGTCATGTCACCAAATGATTGAATATCTTGACTATGTGGCCTGACTAGTCAAATTCCCTTGTCAACAAAAGTTTAATGTTTAGTGTTTATAACTATCGTAAGACATTAAAAGTAACCTGTAATGTCTCAAGATAGTTATGATAATAGTATTTCTTAAATAAAAAATGTGAAACTGATTGAACTTTTGTGTACATGGACACTTTGAGATAATGGAACAGCTTTTTGATATGTTAAACGTATAATTTTCAATAGTATTTTTGGTTGAATTGTAATAAATCGTGTAACTTACAATAGGTACTCACGATAGAAAAAACTATTTTTTTACTTGATTCTGTGTCTAATATCCTTCCGTCTTCTCAAATTTTGATAGTAAAATGAGATAAAAACATGTCATG